TATTTCTTCTTCTTGGCGGTCTCGTGCTGCTTCAGGATGGACTTGGTCGATCGGTTCTTGGAAGCGTAAGACGAGGGATGAAGGGAAGCATTGATGAGGCGTGTTGTCCTGCCTGTGTGTTGCAGACGTCATCCATCACCATGTCCGATCAGCCGGATAGCACCGCCCAGCCGCCTCTGCTGAATGACGGCATCGACCTCTGCTGGCAACCCAGCACCAGCCCCGCCACAAAGCGCCTCGTCCACCGCATTCTGCGCCGTGAGCTGACGCTCGCCATCGCCACTCGACTGATCCAGACCAAAGGAGCCGACCCCGACGCGCTGGTCGGCTTCCGCGATAAGGCATTTGGAGTCCATTCGTCCACCAAGTGGGTGCCGCTGCTGTCGCTGGCGATTGACGACCCGACCGGCAGCGTTCCCTATGTGTGGCGGATGGAGTCGGACCTCAAGACGCCCCTGCTGCTCACACTGTGGGCGACCCGGCAGCTGCAGCGCGAGATACTCGACGCGCTCATCAGCTGCGGGGCCAACGTCAACCGCCATCATCCCTCTTGGTCGTTCATGGAGCCGATCGGTGTGGCGTTCGTGACGGGCAACATTGACGCGGTGGAGGTGCTGCTGGCCACAAACCGACTTGATGGTGTAGCCTTCCCCATGCCCCCGTTCCCTCGCCTCCGGCCATCGCAGGCCTATGACGATGCCCTCATCGGTGTGGCCCGCCGACTGATGCAGCATGACCCTTCACTGAGTGGCCGTGCGGTGATCTCAGCTGCTCTTTCACTGGCCCATCTGTCCAAGGCCTTCGTTTACGAGTACATTGACACCATCTTGCAGCACGGGGACCCCATACCGGCAGCCACAGTGTGCCACGCACTCTCCAATGCCGTCTTTTGCGGCAACCACTGGGTGGTGGACTATCTGTGCGAGCGTCTTGCCACTCCCGCTGACATCAACCCTGTACAAGGTCACCCGCAGCTCTGGCATGCCGCTGGTGGGCTGCAATTCCTATTTGAGCAGTGGGATGGTGACGGCAACCTACCGGACCAGACGGCTGAGTTCATTCAGACGGCTGAGCTCATTCGCAACCGCAAGCTGGTGGTCCGGTCCCTGCTGCGGGCGGGGGCCGACCTCTCGACAAATGTGCTGCCCACCACCACACCCATCGAGCGCGAGCGGCGTGAGCTGGTGCTGAAGGAGTATGTGGTTGTACTCAACGAGCTGCCCTTCGTCGTCATGGGCGCCATCAACGCCGCCCTCGCCCCCCAGCGCGACGCCGACATCCTCATGACGCGCATCCTGCCTCTGGTGGATCACAACGACGAGGACGCCTCCCTCCCCCACCCGCCCTCCCCCTCGCCACTCTCATTCGGACCACAGGAGGCGGCCGCCATCGCATGGAAGATCGGGGCCTTCCTGCACCACCCGCCCGCCGCACTCACCGCCATCGACCAATTCCTCACCAATGAGTCGGCACTCAAGCGGCGCGTCCGGGGGGCCGTTGGGCATTTCGTCGAGTGGGCGGCGACCAAGACGGTCAGCAACCGGGAGGTGGTGGGCGGGTGGAGTCGGGGGTCTGACGGCCAGACGGTGCGTGTGCCGCAGCTGCAGTGCTTCGCCGTCGACGCCGGGCCCCACCACACACACAGGCGGCGGGGGGTGCGCGAGGTGGTGCATCGCGCTCGGCTGGATGAGGTGCGTGCCCACGGGCTGGAGGGGGTGGTCAAGGGCTTCAACAACGAGGAGGGCAATGACGACTGTCAGTTCCAGTAGGGCCGCCTGGGCTTCGTCGACCAGACAGGGCAGTGGGTGTCGTTGGGCATCAGCTGACTGCCTCAGTAGCTGAGAGAATGATGACTCGGTGCGTGCATGGTGTCGGTTTAAGTGCTGACTCATTGGGACAATTTTGCACTGCCTTCTTCATGGGATGCTCATGCCGACTTGCCCTGCTTGTGCATGTGTGTCATGAAGACGCCTTCTTACGCTCCATATCAAGGCTATTTAGTCGTCAGCTGCAGAAAATCGTTAGCACACAGTCGTTTTGCAATGCGCAGATTCACGACCCCCCCAAAAGCACCCAGCTGGGGGGAGTGCTCTAGGCTACTTTTTTTGCGCCCGTTCGTCGGATCGGTTCTTCCGGGGTTGCCAATCGACCCACAGAAAAAACCAACCGAAAAAAAAACGCACACGGAAAAGACGCCAGGAAAGCGCATGCAGCCCCCACCCTTAAAAATCAGTCCCAGTGTGAAGGTCCCTCACGCACAACGGCGAACAGAGCTCGAGTGAGAAACACACCCACGCCGCCTCGTCATTGGCTCCTCTGAAGGGCAAGGCACCGTGCTGACGGGGACATTGCTGCAATTGCATTGCTGTCGGGGCGGCTGGAGGTCGGCCAGAACATCGTCATCTACCCACACGCAGTGCAGACGCGCATCAGGACCATTCGAGTGCCAAGATGGGGCAAGGAGGTGTCTTCTGATGGGTGAGTGATTGTGTGTTGTGTGTATGTGTTCGGAGTTTCAAGCAGGACCTCGCTAGTGCGTCGCAGACCGTGTGTCCATCTGTGCCCCGGCAATCGGAGGCGAGGAGCTGACGGACGGTCGGTCGGTCACTGCCTAAGGTGCGAGACGGTGTGTTTCATGGCCAATCGGCGTGCATATGAGACAGACGTTCCAAGAAACATTCATGGGCGAACAGAGAACGACAGAGGACCCAGACGAACATGTAGAAGAGAACACAGACAACACCATGACAAACATGTACGAAAACACGTAAAGACACGCAACAGAAACCATCGATTGTCAACAGGCCAAGACACCGAAGCATCTGGACATGCACATCGTATCAAATCACACGCAAAAAGGTGAGAACAGTCCTGGCGATCAATAGAGAGACACATACGGCACAGGCACGAATGCAGACAGAGCATGAGCATTGTAAGACAACAGAACGACAAGCACGACACCTAATGGTAAACCGATACATATCCACATGCACTGTACACAGATACATAAAAGGAAGGACAGTGAGGCCTACTGAAACGGGCAGACATGTGTGTCGAACACAGCGAGGACTCTCTTTCTCTCTCTCTTCTCTGTGTGCAGAGTTCAGCGACGCCATCGACGCAAACGACAAGGACGCCGTCCAGCTGTGGGCTGCTCTCGCCAAGGCCGATGACCAGTCGGCTCTCGGCAAGCTCCTCAAGAGCGTGGCCCCCAACAAACTCGACATCAAGAAGGCCAAGGAGATCAAGAAGAAGCTGGACAAGAAGTGATTCCACACACACACACACACACATATCTCTCCTCGGTCATTTTGTGTTGACGCCCTGACTTGCCATCGTTTTAGTCTGCGCCTCCCGGCCACACCACACCTGCTCTGCCTCTTCATGCCTGCTCGTGCTGCGCTGTGCTGTGCTGTGCTGTGCTGCTCGTCCTCGTGCCTGTTTCATGCTGCGTGCGTTCTCTGCCTGTGTTCTGCCTGTTCGTGTTCGTGCTACACCACACACACACACACACACACACACACACAGACACACACAGCTGCATGACCTGTGATGTGCCGTGACGTGCCTTTTCTTTATTCAAGCCACTCACTCACCTATGATGACATGCTTCGTGTATGTGGGCACACCTCCCCATTCTCCTTCAACAGCGCTCTCACCTGCGGGGGTCGTGCATCGCGCTCAGCTCGCTGGGCGCCTTACTTGGGAGCAGATCTACCTTCTAGCTCGCATCCGCAATAGAAGGTGCTGAAAAAAAATGGAGCCTGTTCTTTGCGTTTTCGTGCTTGTCTTGTCTTGCATCTCATCCGCCTGCGGCTACGGCCTGCGAACCATTGCCAGCCAGGTATTCACATGCAAGATAATGCGAAGACACTGTCGTCCGATTGATTGATGTGCTGTTCTTTCTTTTGCAGGCGTCTGGGCGGCTGGATCTTGCCGTGCGGCAGCCGAGGAGATCCGCCCAGTCTGTGTCGATGATCTTGGGCATCGGCAAATCACCTGCGACAGCCACAAAGAAGAAAGACGCGCTCAGGGAGGCCATACGGAGGGGTCTGTCGGACTCTGAGGTGCTCACGGCCGTCGAGCAAGTCGAGAAACTCAATCCCAACAGGAGGTGCCAACGAACACACGGCGATGGCTGTGAGAGGGACCACGGCCGCTTGTGTGCTGTCTTTGTTTGCTCTGTTGCAGAGCGCTCAAGAGTCCTCTTCTCAGCGGCAAGTGGAGGTGAGAAGGGGCACCACGACGACATGCAGTGCCGCGGCTGTGTGCTGATGCATGGTGTCCCTGCCATGTGGTGTTTCTGTGTTCCATCAGGCTGATATGGACGACTAGCGAGTCCATCAAGGGCACGAGGAGGCTCCCCCCATTCAGGCCAGTCAAGGACGAGATTTTCCAAACCATTGATGCCAAGGCCCTCACTGCCGAGAACAGAGAGACCATCTCGCCCATCCCGGGTGTCCGCATCACCAACAGAGTGGAGGCCGAGTTGACGCCCACATCTGACAGCGCAGTGGACGTCAAGTTCACGTATTTCTACCTCGGCTCGCTGCGAATCAAGGCGCCAGACACAGCAAGAGGTCAGTCGCTTGTGGTGGTTGCTCATCCATCCAACTGTGTGTATCATGCAGGTGCGTTGGATGTCACGTATCTTGACGACGAGATGCGGATATCGCGGGGCGACAAGGGCAACACCTTTGTGCTGGTGCGCGCCGACTGACGGACTGATTGATTGGCGGAGTAGTGTAGAGAGAGATACAGGGCAATTAGTGGGTATGGGATTTCTCCGTAGTCGGGCAGTCAGCAGCGCAAGGCAACCGCAGGCAGGGAGGGAGGCGATGCTTCCCTCGGGTGTAAGTTTGCGTACGTGTGTGTGACGTGCGGGTAGGCGCGACTGTGGATCAGGCTATCTACGACGGTGGTTTGTCGAAGAGACGTGGTAGTGTACTGACTGACTGCATATGGTCTTTTTCGGTGTTGGTACGTACATGCCTACACACTGAGTGGACGGGCAGAGTAGACGGACACATTGCACGGACTCACGCGTACGCGCGCATTGTCAATGCCTGCCTGCCTGCCATAACAAACAACAGTACGTACAGCAAATGCAGCTGGAAAGCCCCTTCCCCCACGAACGAATCGCATGTACCTCTCTCTGACCCGACGCACACAGAAGGCTACGTACTACTGTCTACACCATCCGGTCCAGTCAGCGACATGTCCGCCTCCCCTTCCCCTTCTGCTTCACCCTCCCCGCCCCCCTCCCTCTCATCGCTCGATCCGCTGCTGGATGCGCCGCCCCCGTCTTCGGCACCCGAGCTCTCGCCCTCCTGACTCCTATCCGCTGAGGCATCATGCTCGGCCGCCGGCAAAGACACACGAACGGTCCTCTGACGCTGAACTGCAGACAAGAACGCAGACGGCCATCTGGGCGACACTTTTCTGATTTGTGTGGGTTTGTGTGTGTTGCATACACGTTGTGTCTCCTGCTCCCGCTGCCTCTCCGCCGCTGTCGGTCTGGTCCCCCGTGTCTTCGATGATGACGGTGTCTGCACGGTTGTCGGGCGCCCATGACACCGTTACGTAACCGTCGGGTGCAATCCGCAGAACGGCCTGAACAAACCAGATGTACATCACGGGCACGTGTGTGTGTGTCTGTGCGTGTGTTACTTGTAGGAATGTGATGTCTCCTTCTGTGATTTGCGGCGCTGCCTGCGGGGCCTCGCCCTCAGCACCGCCAGCGGCCGCTGCCGCTGCCGCTGCTGCCTGGAGTGCCGCCTCCTAAGACACACACACACGTGCGTGAGTCACTTGTGCACAAATCAAGATGCTCCTTTTCATTCTCACCGGTTCCTCTTTGCCCTTCTGTTTGGCCTTGAGGAAGCTCCTTCTTTGCTTCCTGCAGACACATGACACAAACAGTGCTCTATGTGCTTCCGTAGTCGGCTTGGAGGGATGGGGTGGGAGAGTGACTGGCACACCTTGCTTTCTTGTCTTCGATGAGTTTGCTCTTCTCTGCCGAGCTGTTGAGCTCCTCAACAAACCCAAGACGATCCTGCAGACATAAGGACGATGTGACATGTGGCCTGTGGTGGCCATCTGCTCACCTGTGAGTTGAGTCTGCCTTTGATGATGATCTCCTCAAAGTGCCAATCGGGAAGGGAATCGCTGCATGCCCCACACAGCGATGCCGTCAGAGTCATCAATCAGTGCATTTGTTTCATTTCGCTTACAGTGTCTCTTCCCGGATGTCCCGGCCGACGAGCTCCTGGTGGAACACCTGCCCAGCGACACCACACAACACACATGCTTTCCTCTCATATCACATATGCTCGAGTGACACACACCTGTCCGAACACGGCGAGGAGTTTGCGCAGCATGGCCGTGTTCTCATCCTCCACGCTGTGTCGCCCACTGGAAGTCAGCGCGTATGCTGTGGGTGACCGGCTGAAAGACGAGACGCTTCCACCGCCCCCGCCCGCCAGACCGGTAGCACCAGCGGGAGGCACCACGAGGTCGCCCAGGACGAACATGGGCACGTGGATCTGCTCGTCGGCCGTCGGCTGCAGCAGGGACGGGTTGCGCCGCCACTCGTCCACCAGCCGCTGGAACTCCGAAGGCTTGTTCAGACCCTGATCCATCGATCGAGCGGGCAGAGCGGTGAGTGAGAGAGTGATATGAATAGTGCGTGTGTCTGTGTCTGTGTTGTGTTGGTTGTTACGAGGTATCTGCACAGGTGTCTTGAGGCCATGGAGGCATAGCGGCACCAGCCGGTGACCGGCAGGTAGAGACACAGGTGGTAAAACACCTGGAGGCACATTCATATGGAGCCATGCCATGGGCGCAGATATATGGACACTGACTGACTGACCATGCCATGGCGAGTCCGCTTGCACTGCAGCAGAGAACTGAGCCAAGGAATCCCACCTGAACCAATCACACACCCAGAAAGACAGGAATGGCTGTGAGAGCTCTCACACATGTCTCACTGACCGATATTGACACAGAAAGTGAAGACCCGTTCGTCGTTGTAGAGGCAGTCGACGTCGAGTGCGGGCCGTGGCTGTGGGTCGTGTTTGGCAGCATCAGGGTCCTCCTGGCCGAGCAGTACCAGGTGGGGGAAGCCGCGCACGTACTCGATATCGATCAGCTCCACCAACTTTGACGCCATGCTCTCGTCGATAGTCTGATGCTTGCCGCCTACACCACACACAGACGAAGGGGTGCGCAGGCAGACAGGTGGGCAGGGCAGGGCAGGCACACCGGCAAGGGGTACCTCTTTCCTCAGTTTGTGAAGTGATGTCGTCCTCATCTGCCTCTTCGTGTTTGGCCACTGCAGTGGCCAGCCGCTGAGCAGAGGATGACTCGAGGGCGGCGCTGTCCGAGATGGCAGACTCATCCAAACTCTTATCTAAAAGGCAAGGCACGAGAAGAGATGCTTCTGTGTGCTGTGTGTTATGGCGTGCTCCGTGCATTCAGGCAGGGATGTGTGTAGCTTCCTACCTTTAGGGAATGTGATTGAGTCGAATATGGCGTAAAGGAAGAGCGGCCAGTCGAGGTCAGCCATCATCACACGGATCAATATGTCCTGACAGGCAGACAGACAGACAGACAGAAAGGCAGACATGCGCAGGCAGTGATGCAGGTGGAGGTGTGTGTATGTGGATCATTGGAGCGTCTGTCTCACTTCTTCGCGAATCGCATAGATGACCACCTCGGCCGGGACGGTCTCATTGAAGATCTTCTCGTCCTGGAACAACAGACGCTGAGACACGATCCCTGACACACATACAGAGACAGGCAGAGAGTGACAGACGTGCCCATCCACCAACCCAGAGCTCATGGCGAACCGACCTGCCTCATCCGTCTGCACATCCTGCTCAGAGCTGTCGGGCCCCTCTATCATCGACACATAGGGAATCCGCTGCACCGGCGACAAAGCTGGCATGTTCACAGCACCCTCGACACCGCCCTCCTCCGCACCGCCCCCTCTCCTGGCCTGCGCCTCCTCAAACTCCTTGAGCTTCTTCTGGAACTCTTCCCTCGCCCTCTTGTCCAGCACTCGCAGGTCCTTCTCTACGTTGAGCAGCCCCGCCTTGATCTGCGCCACTCTCGCCTGCTTCTCGGCTATACGCGCCTGCAGTAGGTCCACCGTCTCGTCGACCACCCGCCGCGCGACGATGCCGATAGTGGCGGTGCTTGCGTCAGGCAGGGCGATCTGCAGGTTGCGGCCGAGGTCCTTAATGCGAGAGAGGTCGTCGCGATCGGCGTCGGCCTACGAAAGCACACAGATGGATGGATGGTTGCGTGTGGGTTTTTGCTTACTGTGGCCTCGATAGCGTTGAGCTGTTCGTTGAAGAAGTTGTGAATGGTTGCGAGGCCTGTGTGGGCGCCGGCACGTGTCTCGAGGTCGGTCACAATCTCCTTGAGCTTGTGCTCCAAAGCATCGACTGTATGTGTGTTATGAATGCAGAAGATCCAGACACACACTATAGCACATGCACTAGACGAGGCCTACCCTGGTCCTCTTTCTCCAGTTGTTTCACTTTGACTTGGTTCTCGAGAGCCCGGCAGTGGGACCGGTAACGAGACGCCACGTCAGTGATCTGTATATGCATTCATTCACCCATACATGAAGGCACATGTTGGTGGATTATGTGAAGGCCGTCAGTCTCCGTCAGCTCGGCGGGCGGACCTTGACGCGCAATCTGAGTATCCTCATCCTCATGTGGCGCTTCTCCAGCCGCAATCTGCACGCAAGAGCCAAAATCCTGAGACCTTCCCGCTGCTCACTATCTGACCTTGCGAGGTGTCTTCTGAGCAGCCTGACGCCCTTCTCGTTGCCGAGCACCTGCAGCAGGTCCCGCCATGCCGGCTGCCACATCTGCGGGTCAGACCGCAATGACGACCGCAACGACTTCACCACACGACGATACACCTGCAGCACACAACAGACAGACAGACAGACAGGGGCACCTTACCCACCAACGCACCACTGCGCTGCTCATTGCTTACCGCTCTCTGCTTGTCCATGCGGGTAGGGCTGTATGGCAGGTGGTAGGGTACCCTGAAGAGCTCCTGCAGGAACTTCCAGAAAAGTGCCTCGTGTGACGATCGGCCGGGTGGCGCGGAGTCCGCTGCAGTGGGCGGGGGGCCGGTGAGTGCAAGCTGAGTCGATCGCCGACTGATACATCGATGGACGAAAGACAAAGTGAGATGCACCTCATGGCCAATGGAAGTACAAGGTGTGTGTTTGTGGGTTCGGCCCACCCCTCTCTTTCTTTGGCAGGCTTCCTGCTTTGGTCGTCGCTGAGCGGTGTAGGTGAGGTTGCCGCCTCACCTGCTGTGCCGAGGCGAAGGGCCTCCTGCAGAGACTGGTACCTGAGAGGCCAAGGTGCATATCCATATCCATGCACATTGTGTCTCGCTCACTCCCTGTCCGACGAACTTACCTCTCCTTGACGTCTTCCAATTCCTTCATCAACAGGTTCTCCGAACACGCTGCCTGCAACTCTACACACACCAAACCATAGCACCACTCCATCCATATCACGTTGCTCCATCGCCTCACCTGCCCACCCGCCCAGCTCACCAGCGTTTTGCTTTTTGATGTGTTCATTTTGGTGTCTGAGTGTAGCGATCTCGGCGTACGCCTCCTGCAGCATCTGCAGGCTCTCCAGCTCAGCCTCGCTGTCCATGACGCTCTCGTCGTCGCGACCCTGAGTGTGTCCATCGGCCTCTATCAGCGGGAGGGTCTCACTCTGCAGCTGGGCCTGCAGAGTGGTCAACAGGCCGGCCTCAGAGGGGTGATGCGTGCTGTTCAAAGCGAGGGGGCTGATCTGCGTCATGGACATGGCTGTGCTGGTGGGAAAGCCTGGTGCGATGGTGGCGGCTGAGTACAAACGAACGGGAAGCGGAGAGACACATACATTGGGGGGGTGCTCCTTGGTCTCTCTTGTTTGTCCGTCTAGGTGTGTGTCCCCCACCCACCTCTTGGCCCGGTGGCCCTTCTGGGCTGTCCTGAGACTTGTCCGGGCCGCTGCAGCCCGTGAACACTGTGCATGGACCGAGCGAGGCTGAGGCGGCTGCCGGTCTTGGAGAGGCGGCGGTTGGGTGTCTTGCCGCCTTCATCGCGCTTCTTGTCGACACGGAGTGTAGAGGAGCTCATCTTCTCAATGCGGTGCTGCGCCAGGGAGAGTTCCTTCTCGAGAGTTGCCACCTTGACGCTCCTGGCCTGACTCTCCGTCAGGGCAACCTGCAGACAAACACCACAAGAGGCGAGAGACACCAATGGATGAATGCTCGGGGCGGCCTGCACCTGATGGTCGTCTCTGAGCTTTGCCAGGCAGTCTTCAAGGTGGTGCACTCTCTCCAGGTCAGCCTTCTTCTCGGCGTACGAGTGCTCCACCTGGGCTTTGAAACTCGACATCTGGTCCTGAAGCAACTGGTATTTCTGATACACAGACAGACACACAGACACAACAAGCAGGCTCCTGCGGCCTGACGCTGGAATGGTTTCCTCTTGTTTGTCCCCACCTGGAGTAGTAGGCTTTTGTCTTTCTTTGATTCGCTGAGTAGTGTCTGTGTGGCCTTAAGATCGTTCTGCAGCTGCACGTTGGTCGACCTGTACTTGTTGAGCTTGTTCTTTAAATGCCGCATCTCGAGCGCAAACATCTCACGCTCCTGACGATTCAACTCACGCTGCACGAGCGAGGAGGGACAGAGGGAAAATAAACGATATGAGACAGCAACATCCTTTCTGTCCATGTTTATGTGTCTACCAGTCTTTCGTTCTCTTTTCGGTGCCTTTCAAGAGCAAACAGGGGCGTCTCGCTGATCCATGCCGAAGCAGAGGAAGAGGACGATGGGAACCCCACACTCAAGCCCATCTTACGGGGCGACAACGATACTGCACGACGGACATATGAGACAGCCACAACCAGGCCGTTCATTCCTTGCACACCGGCCGTCTGCGTCTATCTCACTGTGCGCATCATCCTCCCCATTGTCCTCCATGACAGCGGCCGACTGCCACATCTTGGCCCCAGTCGGCATGGGGATGGGCAGCCCCCCGCTCACCGCCGAAGGAAGGTTCCTGTGCGGTGGCGGCGACGGCGCCATGTCGGTCGGACTCCATGACGACTGCGTCGCCGAATGGGCGGTCACCGTGTCGGACGGCTGCAGCGCATCGGGGCTGGCGGCGGCGGGAGGAGGTCGGCTGGCAGAGGACGACAGTGAAGCCCGCCCTACAGAACACATCCACATGGGGAACACACTGTCTTCCACATCAGGGTCTTGCAGGTCCGTCCCTCTCCTCACCGGAGGCAGCATTGTTGGCCACGAGTCTTCTGTTGCGGCCCCTCCTCGGCTTGGCGCCTGTGGCGCCTGCGCTGGGCGGGTTTGGGTAAGCGTCGAGCGGCGGGTTGGGGACTGGTGTTGCGTACGGGGAGGGAGCCGACATAGGCATGGTGCGCGGAGGGCGCTGCGGATGCGCCGGAACTTGAAGAGGAGGAATCATGTCGACGACCGGTATGGGGGCCTACGGGGGCCAGAGGAAGGGAGAACCAACGGAGGTGCATGCAGCCAAACAACGCTCACATTGGCCCAAGACTGTTGACGGGAGCAGTTCTGCACTTACTCCTCCTACTAGCACATCGATGCAGTCACACGTCTTGTCGCGGGGAAATTCAATGAGCGCTGGAGTGATTCATCGATAATGGACGTGTCACTGTCCTGTTAAGGAGTCCGTCGCATCGCAACAAGAAGCTGTCATCACTGCTGTCGCGTGCCCGTGTCGCTTCTTCCCAGACACGGACGCAAACATGGAGACACCAAATGTATAGAACAGAAGCAAAGGGGTCGATCGAACACTAAAAAAGGAGGGGTGACGAATGGCTCCCGCCTGTCACCCCAACATCCCAGACATATGGAACGCAGACAGACAGGAAAAAGAAGCCTGAAAAGGCGCGCTCCCTTTCGCATAGATCTACAAAGGTACGCATATCTACCAAAGCACTCCAGCAGGGAAAACTAATGGTGGTCGTCGACCCTTAAACTAGTCTACATGAGAGGGACAGAAGGGACACACAGCATCGTTGAATGTGTGTGAGAAAAATAGAAAGGCTGTCTACGATGCCGCTACCCAAGAATGGTGCTGATTTCAGCACGCTATCTCCATATATACAGTACAGGTGCAGCGTTGCACGGACCGTACGTATGTACGCCGGCGCAATGCCAATCGAAGGGTATGAAAGCTAAGAGAAAGAGTGCACACACCCTTAGACATGTACAGAACACAGACAGTAGACATGCACACGCAGACGAGCCTGAGAGAAACATATCATGACGTAAGACATCGGAAGGCTCCCACTCTCCGGGCTCTCTCTTCAGCACTGTGGCACGCCTCGCATCACAGCCCAGGTCACTCTGACGTAAAAGAGGAGCGCTAGCATAAGTTGCAAAAAGAGGAGCGCTAGCATAGAACAGTAGCAATAAGAACTTTAGTACAGTATGCTACAATACGCGACGCCGACGCCGAATTCGCATAAGTTGAGTATGGAGGGAAGGGCTCATGTCGTCGAGCATGGGCTCTCCTTCCCTTTGACAGATGAAGCGCTGCCGACGTTGCTTGTGCCTTGAGACATCTTCTCCTCTGACTCAATCGATTCGCCCCTCTCGCCTATCGAATACAGCACCCTGTCAGATTGCATCAGACCGCCTTCCATATACTCCTCCTTCAGGAGAAACGGCCGCGAATAAGGGCTCTTGACAGTCGGCAGGGTGGTGTCGGCGGCCGTGCTTTGATCGCCCGCGGAGTCTGTGATGAGGGGCGGGGGACAGATGTCTTCGCGGGGGCCTCGTTGAAGCTCGGGTGTCTCGCAGGACACCGACAGCTCGAAGCTGTCGAAGCTGTCGCTCTTCTCCATTGGAGTGTAGTAGGCGCTCCGATGTGTGAGGGAGGAAGAGGACGGCTGGCTTTGGAGCTCCGATATAGGCGGCGTGCCCGGCGGCCGCAGCTCCCAGCCTGTTGGCCTCGTGTACGGCGACCAGCCGCCCATGGGAGTGGCACGTGGCGATACCTCTAGCGAAGCCGGAGTAGAGTTCGGGACTTGCAGCAGATGGGGCTGAGGTGCTGATCGGGTGGCCAGGCTGGTCGTGTACGAGCGGGGTGGGCCGATTGGGTGGGCAGCTGGCAGCTTGGACCTCCCTTTGACAAGGACATCAGTCTGTCGGCCGATGGCAAGAGGAGTTGGCGTCTCGCTAGTGGCTTCTTTCGGCTGCCTTCCCATGGTCACGGCCGCAGCAACGAGCACCGCAAATTCCGCCCCCTTCTGGCTCTTGTCAGGGCCTTCATCAGCCGTGCTCTTGTGCTCATGTGCCTCTTTTTCCTTCTCTATCATTTTTCTCGCCGCCTCTTCGTCAAAGGACTTCAGTCTCCTCTTGTCTGCTGGAACGCTCGCCGGCGTCTTGCTTGACTCCACCTGCCCCTCCTCTTTGCCAGCAGCCGGGACAGAGAGGTAGCGTCGAACGCCGAGATGCAGCTGCGTGGGCCGCCGGTCACCCAAGCGCGGCAGCACAGACAAGGGAGACGTCTTTTCCACCACATTGTCTTGGAAAGCCGATGAGCTCCTGAAGGACACCTCTCGGTCTGACGGGTGAAGAGGGGGCGGCGCGTCGAGCGGTAGCTGGTGTGACTCAGTGACACCCGGCAGCGGAGCATTGTGCAGCTTGACTTGTCCCGGATCGTCCTTGTCCCCTTCTCGGCTTCGGTCAGGAGTTCGGTCGACGCTCTTGCAGATTGATGACGAGGAAGACGGCCGCAGGCACGGATCCAGGCACTTGCTGTCATGTGTACTCGGCAACAAGGCCTGCATCAGTGACTTGCGCGTGCGGCCGACACTGGATACGTTGCGGACGATGCTCTTGGCCCCGGTCGGTGAAATGTCCTCATTGCTGCCGCTCGTTATCGACGCCACCTGGGACTGGTCCGGTGTCACTGCTGGGAGCGCAGGGGCATCAGGAATGACACTCGTAGCTCGCTCTGGCGGCGCTGGATTGCTTGATGTCGGGTCGGGCCGGTCGGGAGTCGACTTCTGGGATTGGTGGCCTCCAGGCGATGGTGTGAAGGAGACGGGCGGGGCGTCGACCAGACGAGCGCTGCACTCGAGGGAAGGGACAGAGCGCAGCCCTGCAGACGAGGTAGGCGAGACCTCAGGGGACTGCTGCGGTTTCAGATGCATGTCGGATCCCGAGATTTTTCTCTTCTGGCTTGGCTGGCACCGGAGGGACTCGAGCTCGTCGAAACGCATGTCAGTCCGAGTAGCAAAGTCCCTCATTGTGGCCTGGGACGACTGAATACCGCAGATCTTTTCCATCATGGTCGCCTGAGAGTGAAACACACACGCAAGATTGGTTAGTTACGGCAAGCCTGTTCTGTCAAGATGCGTAGTATGTGCCCACCAGTCTGCGAGTGATGTGGTTGCGCATGTCGCTGATGCGGAGATACACCATTCTCGCGTCCATTCGCAGCTTATCTGCACCAAGTGTGTCGAAGGGGTGGTCGGGGCTCCAGTGGTGAGATCGGTGGCCCCCATAGCCATCAGAGTGTCTCCGATGGCCGGTAAAGCTGAGGAATCCCCCTCTCTCAGATGGTCCGCCCTGCGTCGATCCCGGCGGGGTGTCCCATGTCTCGATCAGCGGTGCTGGAGAGGACGGTCCCGAGCCCCCGCTCCCTTGGCCCATTGTTGCTAGAGGCTCTGGACCATTTTGCCCTGCTTCTTGGTGACAGAGCCGCTGCTCTGCTTCCCCATCATGGTGCGTCTGCCGAGGAGTGGAGTGCCAAACCAGGATCGGCCTGACTGCTGAGGCTGCTGAGGCTTCTCGCTGATGCTGCGGCCTGGGACAGAAGTGCGGGCTGGGATGTTCATGGCCGGGGCCGTATCAGCCTCAGAGGGCTCCTTTGATCTGGGTCTCTGCGGCGTGTCGCCTGGTGGGCCCGCGGGTAGCATGCCGCTGTGAGGGGGCGAAGGAAGGACCAGAGGCACGCGTGACGGCAGGTCGCCTCCGCCGCCCCCGATGAACGAGCTGTATGACTCGACCGACCCCTGGCTGCGAAAAGATGAGCCTCGAGCAGGGGCGATGCTGTGGTGCCTCGGCGCAAACGCCGCGCTCTGCGAGGGCGACTGCCGGTTTGCTTGAGGGCGGAGTGAATGAGATCTACACAAACAGACACGACCAATGAGTCGAGTGGTGCCGGCACGAAATTCGCACCTGCACTCGCTCACCTCATTGGCAGGTCAGCAGCCAGATTGGTGGACACCGACGAGCCGACAGAGGCAAAGGATCCCATGTTCCTCTTTCGCGACATCGACTTGGCGCCTTGGAGCTGGTCGGCAATCGACAGCTGCGACGCAGCACTTCTCATGAGCTCAGCCACGTTCTCAAAACTCGCGACGCCACCCCTCCCAGCGATTGGTGGGCGAGGTCCCTCAATGTCCCGGTGACGCAGCGTGCGCCTTCTGAAATCCGGCGAGGGATGCGGGCCCTGGCCTGTGGGCTGATTGGCCACCTCTTCCTCTGGCTGGTGCGTGTCAGACAGCTCGGCAAGGGTCGATCCAGAGCCGCAGTGCTGCTTTGTTCGCTTGCGTGAGGAGGAGCTCCAGGGCGCTGGACTGGGGCCCGGGGTGTCTGGCGCCGTGTGGTCGGCAGTCATGATCTGGGAGAGCCTCTCTTCATAGTGAGACGACATTGACTGCACCAAGACAGACAGACAGACAGACGAGGGTGATAAAAAGCGTTGAGGGCTTTGCTGGGTTCTTCTGTCAATTACCAGTAGTACGTTGGCGATTTCCGATCTGAATCCCATCTCGAGGCAGTCTATGCGCCTGTGCAGGCCTTTGGCCATCTTGTGAAGGCCGTACTGAACCAACTTCACTGACTTGGCGCTCCCCCTGAGAAGAAAGGGACAATGCACGAATGACATACTCAATTGATTACTGCCTGTTCCTGACTTGATGCGCAGACATCCCTCGATGAAGTCCTTCTGCCGCAGGCATGAAACAAATAGAGACGTGACTGTTGCATCTGTCCTATGTGACAGTTACCACTCTGAGCGCGCCTGTGCCCTCGTGGTCGAGGAATTCCCACAGGTCTTGTGCGTCCACCACAGCTATGTCCTCGGCATTCAGCTTCTGCGCACACGCAGACAAGAAATGAATGAATGAATGAATGACTAAATGATGTCCAGTCTTTCTCCCGCCGTTCGTTCATTCACCGCCACACACCCGTATAACAGCGTCCTTGGTGAGAGCCTGCTGAAATTCCTCTCGTGTCACCTCGTGGTCCTTGTCGACGTCGGCCAGCTTGAAGATCTGCAGCAGCCGCTCGATGTTCTGCAGCTTCTCCTTGCTCGCCCTCTCAAGGTGCTTCGTCTCGTTATGGTGACCTGACGCAGCAATGACACAGACAGGCATGTACACAAGCACACAGGCGCCATTGTGCTTCCTTTGACGTACGTGATATCTCGAGAATGTTGTCGACAATGACACCCGTGACCAGGTTGAGGAGGGAGATGTTGGTGAAGATGAGAAACAGGACGAAGAAGAGGCCGCTCCAGTCCTCGAACTTCATCGACGTGCGAGCAATCTCAGACCAGCCTTCCAACGTCAATACCTGTATATGCACCACAGCACCGAGACACGAAGGAATGAATCTCGGTCGGATGGTGTGAGTCTCTCGCATCAATCGTTGAGTCGGTGTGACTGACCTGGAAGAGCGTAAATATGCTCCTGAGCATGTTTCCGAACCACTCGTCAAGCTTCTGCTCGTCCGTCCGCCACTCGGCATCAGCATCGCCGTATCGCTGACCAAGGTTGCGGGTGGTGAAGACAGCACCAACGTAGATGACCAGCAGCAGAAGCAGACTGACCCACACGAGTGCTCTCGACGCGTTGACAAGGCCGCGAGTCAGCACATACAGCTCGCGGAAAAACCGCACCACGCGAAGTATGCGTGCTAGCCGGACTAGTCTCGCGACACGTAAAGCAGTCAGGAAGCCCGTGTACCTCACTCGCGACGACGCGCCTCCGCCCTGCGCCTCGATGATGAGAATCATGATGAGCTCGATAAATGACGAGACCAGCAGGAGCAGGTCGAAGACGTTGAGGGCGGACAAGAAGAAGCCCCACCGGTAGTAGGCGAAGCGAATGACGATCTCGACAGAGAAGAAGAGCAGGAAGGCCATGTCGGCCCAAAACCATGGCGACCAGAACAAGCTTGTCGGGTCGTCCACTCCGTCCTCACTCCCACTGCCCGTCACGAAGTCACGCCTGAACTGTGTCTCCACTCCCACGAGGATGGCGTTGGCCAGAATGACGCCTCCGATGAGCATGTTGGCAACATGAGACTCGATGAAGGCGAAGCGGGCGTCGACAGGGAGCCCCCCGCTGCTCTCCTTAATGAACGACCGAGTACGGTAGGAAGACAGGTTGTGGGAGTCGTCGCGGTTGAGCAGCCATATCTGGGACGCAGTCGTGTGGGGTCCTCCGTACTGCTCCTGCTGCTGATGTTGTGAGCGATGTTGTCGGTTTTCTTCGTGCTTGTCTCCTGCCTCCGGGTCGTCCAGCTCTTCCTCCAGATGCGCGAGGGTGCGTGGTGTGAGGGAACCCGAAGACACCACCTCTCGTGCAGCCCCATCGTCGTTGGCCTTGCGCCTAAGCGACGCTGTGATGGCTGCCGTCACGCCTGCCAAAACCATCGTGGTCCTCCTTCACCTCTCAGCCCCTATGGGACACGTCAGTATGGGACACTCAGTGGCATCTGTTGGGGCCCGCAGAGAAAGACGCTGCGGCGACCAAACAGACGAAAAAGGGAAGCCAGTGATTCCTCGGCGGCCTGGGAAGCGTCGTGCGACATCGGAGAGCGGAGAGAAACCGGAGAGAAAAATGCGAGCTCAGAAAGCTCATCGAAGGCCATCTCTGGACTGTCAAGGTATCTGTCCTATCACGCGGACGACAGCCTGGGAACCTGTGCTTGGGCCTTTGCTTATTCGCTTCCTCACAGCGGATCTCATGGTTTCTTCCTCGTCGACAAGGTAAGCAGACATGAGCAGGACGGGAATGGTGTGTGTGCCTTTGGAATTGCTTGCTTCATTGTGTATTCAGATTTCGTTGACACTGCACGGATGAAGAAGTGACTGCGATTCAATGGCTTCAGAGAGCGGCGAGGCCGCCCTTCAGGTCGATAGAGGCTTTCTGACCTCCCTGTCAACTGATCTTTCCTTCCTGGCACACTGCGACAAGGTACACGACGATGAGTAGAACAAGAGAGCCAATCACTCTACAGAAAAGCCTCGCCTGTTCACGGCCCAGTTTGTTGCGGGCATTGCAGCTGGATTGGCAACAGCGGTTACATGTTCGCCTCTCGATGTAATACGAATACATCTGATGTGTCGGCATGTCGTCTGTCTGTGCACCCTGTTCGTTGTGTGTGCAGGTCTTGAAGGCCCGACTGCAGATTGTGGGGAGGAGGCATCACCAAGAGGGCAGTCACTTTGCAGCGAGCCTGAGGCGATGGAAGACTGCGCGTGACCTGTTTTCTTGCTTCATGGAGACGGCACAGCATGAAGGCCTTCGTGGTTTTTATCGCGGCTTCAGTGCCACTGTTGTGTGCGTGCCATTCTTCTGGTCGATTTATTTTCCTCTCTATGAGTCCATAAAGGCGAAAGTGCAGGCGAGGTACTTACGGCACCGCTCGGTCACATTTCCTGACTGTATGTCATCCGTCCATATCAGGAATGGTGGTGCATCGAAGAATGACTCCCACCTGTACTCTTCCCTGGTCAACGCCCTTGCTGCCGTGTCTGCTGGTGCGTGTGCGGACATCTGCAGCAACCCACTGTTCGTCGTCCGCACTCGGCTCATGGTCATGCGCCATGACAAACACGCCAAAGGCAGCGGGGCGGGCATCAGGGCAACCGCACCTTCCTATGAGTATCGTGGGCTCTTTCACGCCGTCAAGTCGATCTACCAGAAGGAGGGAGTCATGGCCTTCTACTCAGGTGAGGTACCCTGCAGGTGGCTGGCGGAAGTCGCCATTTAGGGAGGGAATTTCGCTCACTGTTGGCGTCCTTGTGCAGGTCTTGGCGCTTCCCTACTTGGTCTGTCGCACGTGGCCATCTATTTCCCTCTGTATGAGGAACTGAAGGCTTCGCTGAGAAGGGTAGGAAAGATCAGATGCGAAAAAAGAGATTCGTGGATAGTGATGTCTGTCTGACTCTGCGTCAGTGGCGCCGCAGCCGCAGCCCCACTCCCTCAGAGGGTGTGCCACACAACAGCATGGACATCGCAGCTGCGTCTATACTTGTACAGATGACTCACTCATCTATCTCACCCCAATGCATCCCATTCGTCCGCCCTCCTTGTTAAACTTATGTGTGTGCATATACAGGCGAAAATCACAGCAACGTCTCTCACGTACCCACACGAAGTCCTGCGCACCCGCCTGCAGGCGCCATCGCCCGCCCATGACCACGCCCCCTCCCCCTTCCACCCTCCCCCCTCCTTCCCCAGCTCACGTGTGCCCCGCTCTGCACACTCACCGCGCGTCCTGGTAGACGTCGCCGTGCCGCCCTTTCCCCCGATCCATCAGCCCTCCGACTCCGAAGCACACAGGCACCGATACAAGGGGGTGATTGACGCTCTGCGGAAGATTGCACGGCATGAGGGCATGGCTGGACTATGTAAGCCGAATGGGAAGGAACCTGCAAGGGGCTCTGCACCCTATATAGCTATACGTGATGTGTGGTTGTGGTTGTGTGCAGATCGTGGGTGTCTGCTCAACATCGTCCGGCAGCTGCCGGCCACAGTCGTGACGATGTGTACGTATGAGCGGATCCGAACCCTCTGGCACGCGTCATTTTGCGGCAAGCAGTGCGCTGACCGGGGGACCCTGTGAACAGTCATTGCAGTGACGGCAGAGAGGTGGTGTGTGTGTGTCCGTGTACATATAGACCAGCGTGTATCGATTCCTGAGTGCGTGTACAGGTCGCTTCGATTGACATTTGCAGTTTTGACCGACTTTTGCCGACTCGATTGATTGATTCATCAATCCATGCATGACACACATTCAGTCAACACGGTCAGTCAGTCAATACGCCCCAATGCGCTACGCCCCATGCCCTCTCAGTCAGTCACACGCCAGCTTATCGACCGACAAAGCACCCACCTACTGCCCCCCTGCGATGCGATAGCCACTTGTTGATCAACAGTAGAGCTCTTTGGCCCCTCCCTCCCTCCCTCCGCTGTTCGAATCATGTGTGTCTCTCTTCGCCTGCGCCCACCAATGTGGTGAGACACCAATGCCAGCAGCATGACCAGCACAAGCAGAAACACAGACGGGCTGCCGTGACGCATCGATGGCGACCCAGCAACTGGACACACACGCACATAGAGAGAGGGCAGACAGAGACACGGATGCGTCGATCGAGTCATTTCGTCAGCCAGCAAGCCAAGCCAAGGGGGCCTTACAAAATGGCTGCTGTTGGGGCCCCCCATCGTGTCCGGCCTCCTCGCCCACGGCGGATAGGTCCCGTGGCGCTTCGGTGGTCATGCACTCAGGAGGGAGGGCGGTGCAGGGCCCACCGGAGGTCACCTCCTCCTCGGGGCAGTCCGTGCTGCCGGGCGACCGGCCCTCAGTCGTGCGCGACCGGCGATGAGTCAAGATGGCCGTCGAACAGCTGCAGCCACCGGAGAGAGAGAGAGAGAGTGAGAGGGCGTTAGGGGTGGGCTTGTATGTGTCTCTGCGTCTGAATGTCTTACTTTCCCGGCGTAGTGAGTTCGCAGCTCCACTCTGACCAATCGCCCATTGTACAATCCACGCCTACATCAGCACAGCACACAAGGGGGAGCGCTGTCGTGTGAAAGAGGCAGGGAACTGCCTGGTTTGGTTGTCTCACCGCAGTCCTGTGTGTTGCAGGGTCTCTCCTGGAGCATTTCTGATGGACAGACATCAAGATGGACGAACAATAGATGCGCCTCTGTTGAGGCCTGCGCACCCTCCATGCTCCTTGCGCAGCTGATTGCGTGTGCCACCTCCGAACATGGCTTGATGTCGCCCCCACAAGTCGTGGAATCAAGCGACTGCACCGCACACATACCCACAGCCACAGATATTGCTCTGCCCTCCCCACCCCTTCCCGCCATCCGCCCTCTCGGCCTGACCAGCGGGTCCTTGTCTTTGTCTTGGTCAAGACTGCAGCAGTCTAGACCTCGGTTGTACGCATGGGGATGGTCCCCATGGCAGAAACCTGCGGTGGCCACACACATAGAAGGACAGGAGAACAGTGCAGAGCAGTGCCTGCCGGGCATACATCATTGTGTGTCGACCGCAGTCCTTTTGGTCATGTTGGGGCCTCTTGCTGTCCTCTGGCGTCTGCCTGGTGCGGTTCTGGACGCCCCCACCACACGTGACGTTGCAGTCATTCCACGGCTGGTCCGCCCAGTCGGGCAATATGCAGCTCGGCACTGCAAACACACAGACAAAGTCAGTCAATGGTATGACTTTCAGATGTGGCGTCTCTCCTCCTCCCACTCTGCTTCCTTACCACCTTGACCCATGGTCGGCTAGGCGGGCCTTTCTTCTTCAGCAGACATCCGACTCGGCGCCAAGGTTGCTGTGGGACAGCAATGGGGTCTGCCTCGTGAACAGACCCGTGGGAGCTGCGTCAGTCGTTGGGAGGAGGGGATCGGATGGAGGGGAAATTGTCATTTGGGGCCATGCAGTGGGGCCAAGGGGATTTGTTTTCTGAATGACGCTCTACCCCAGACACTCACGAACCGTCTTTGAGTCCGATGCACAACCCTGCATAGGCCAGGCCATGGATGGACGGACGAGCACAGATACGCCTCACTGCATGTGTCTTTGTGTCACAACGCTGTGAGTCACATCGCATTCACTCAACGTTCTATGGACGGACCGGGACGTGCATCACACGACAATGATCTGCCTGGCTAGCTACGCACATCTACAGGCGGCCGCCGACTTCGACGCCTCATGCGACACACACCTGCACAAACAAAGCAGGGCAGGGAGAGAGAGAGGGAGGGAGGGATGCCAATACACACACACACACACGACAGACGAAGGTCCATGCGTCAAGTGACTGACCGACGAACTGACCTCTTGGCAGGTTGGTCTCAGACGACCCACGACGCCCAATCTCCTCAGAAGACGAGCTCTTCACAGCTCCGTCAGTCTGGGAGAGGGCACTCTGCTGCTGCTGCTGCTGCTGCTGACTTGATGCTGGTGGTGCAGCTGTTGAAGGCTGGTACATGGGGTGGTTGGGTGACAGGCGCGATAATGGCTGCTTGCTGCTGGTCTGCATCTGCATCATGGCCTGCAGCTCTTGGGATGGCGGCCGGGTGGAGATGCCCTGCGCCAGCAGCTTGGCTCGAACACGCCTCTCTCGCTGCAGCCGCTCGGCCATGCGGGCGCGCAGAACGGTGTGGGGGGCATGCCTGAGGGAAGAGGGCAAGGGGAGAGGGATGTCTGTCTGCCTGTGTGGGGGTCTGTCTGTCTGTCTGGCTTTGTGTGTGCTGTGCGTGGATGTGGGATGTGGGACAGATACCTACCTCTTCTTTGGTTGGTATTTGCCTGCGAGCGTGGGGCCGGTGATTTGCCAGCGTCCATCCACCAGGGTGAAGTGCTGCATCGCATGATGCATACAGACAGCAAATGATCGATGAAGCTCAGCTCACATACCCACTCCTTTTCTCCCTCGCTCAGCTCACCTTCTTGTTGAAGGCAAAGTGTGTCCGCCTTCTCTTCTTCCACCTGATGAAATGAACGGGTAGATGAGATGACGCCACACAGACATACCAACCAGTCAGCACCACACACCCCTCCCCCTCCCCCTCACCATCTCTCGGCGAATCGCTCAAAGTCCCTCTCGCCCTCCCCCGCCCGCTGCGCCTCCGACCGATACACCTTGGGCTCCATAGTGGGGTCGAGCACCATGCCCTCAGCGGGGTCCGCAGAGGCCATGTCCACATACCGGGCCGGCAGGGCAGGAGCCACCTTCTCGAACTGCAAGGCCACGCTCTGCGATGTCACGTGGCGATGGTGGGAGTCCGACTGGGGGTGATGGTCGTCGTCGTGGGCAGAGAGGGAGGGGGAGGGGGAGGTGGGGGATGGCCGGGGGAAGAACTGGGTGGAGTAGAATTCGTCCTTGTCGTCGTCAGCGGCTTCATAGGGAGCATCTGAGGTGCCTGGGGCGTCCATGGCCATCTGCTCAGCGCGCCTTGGAGGTCGGTCTTGCCCGTGGCGAGAGTGGTGGTGGTGGTGGTAGTCATCCTCCCCTTGGTGCTCTTCATCGCTCGACTCATCCTCCTCTCCCTGGTCGTCTCCTGAGCGAGTGTCGGTATCGTCCTCATCGTCGCTTTGGCGTTCGCCGTCTGCCTCGATGGCGTCGTGGAGCACCTCATCCATCGCTGTCCACACCACACACACACACACACACAGAGAGAGAGATGTGTTACCCACGTCGACACTCCATTTGAAGCGTGAGTGGGCTTACTTCTTCCAGTGTACTCTGCGGCAAGAACGGCCTGATGAATGGATGGATGTCAGACGGACAGACACACCACACACATGAAGGCACCCACCCCCTGTGTCTGATGTGCGTTTCTCGCTGCGTACGTCCAGCAGTGGTGGTCGCTTTGGGAGCTTCCTCTGCGACCGACGCAGATCCAACACCTGCACACACGCCATATATGCACCCCCTGCCCGCTAGAAATGCGTCTGTGTATCCGATTGGCTACCATTTCGTGGACCTTGACTTCCGCTCCGACGGTCTCATCTAGCTCAGGACTCAAATGGCGGGGGGCAATCTGACACACGCCCACACACCGACATGGTGTGGTGAATCGATCAGTGCCGTGACTGAGGGCACGTGTGATGGCTGTTGGTTGTTGTGGTGCGCATGCGCACATGTCCGTAGTAGTAGAGTGCTTCCTTGAGGTAGGTCTTGGTCGACGATTTGGCCATCAGCCGCACGTAGCTGTTCAACGCCCAGGGGCGCGTGATGACCATCGGGAGAGGCCGGATGCCACCCTTGTCCTGAAACCTGCACACATACACACGCAAACGACACACACATTACAATACAATACAATATGACAAGAAACTCCTAGGCTTGCTGATATCATTGCCTTTCCCGCCCCGCCCACACACACCTACCTGGCGAAGTCGAAGAGGCGAGGGTGGAGGCTCCGCTCTATCTGAGCCGCGATAAAACCGCGAGAAAACTGGTTCATCATCGACCCACACACATAACACAGCCCCTCTCTTCTTTGATGTGACCGCCATGCAATGCGTATATATGGCTGGGTGCGGCGCCTTGGTGCTCAGCTTAGCTCACATGTCCGTATTTGCGTATGTAGTCGACCATATAGGGCACGGCGATGGTCTGGTGGCACCGCAGCAGGTAGGCCAGCAGGCTGGGGGAGTTGACCCTGAACTCCCGCTGCACGTCGCGGATGAAGTGCTCGTAGTTGCGCTGCGTCGGCTTGTCCCGCAGCGCCGCTATGCGGGACGCCACACGCACACACTTCTCCGCCGGCAGCCTGCAGACAGACAGACAGACATTCACCACACACAACACTTGCATGCTGTGGTGCTCTCTCTGGGCCTGGGCCGTGTTTGTGTTGGGTGTTCTTTCACCTTCTGACAAGTGTGTACATGAAGAGGGAGTGCAGTTCCTTGATGGGCAGCCTATCCACATCCAGCACCTTGACCTTATACACATTCGGCGGGCCGCCGGGCAGCCTTGTTCGCCACCGTGATGGCGCCGATAGCGACAGCGATGTGGGCGTCCCGTCAGGCCTCGTCGCGCGGCTGCCCGCCCCAACAAAGCTGTCGTCCACCGCTCGACGTGCTGCACGGACAATGGGAGAAACAGGCGAGGCGGGATAGGCGTAGGCGTGGTCGTCTTGCTGCCGCGGTGCGGGAGATGTCTGTGCAGCTCTCCGCGCTTTCGCCTCTTCCTTGCGCCTGGCCCGCTCGTCTTGCTCCCTGTAAATGGCCTCATAGTCCACCAGAGTCAGCAAGGCTCTCCGCCGGTCTCGCGCTCGAGGCGAGTTGCTGAACGTCGTGAGGGACGACCTGAGGTAGGGGCCCTCCTGGCCTCGTGGCGTGAAGGGGCTGACCCGCCGAGGATTCCACAACGCATAATGGTCGTCCTCTGCGTCATCTCTGTATGATGCGGCGGCACCGTGCTCCCGCTGCCGCCCTGCGCTCATGTGCCACATGGCCGCTGCCTGAGGGGAAGCGAGGCCGGCTTCCTGGAGCTTCCTGTCGATGGCCTCAGGCGAGTCAGTGTCGTCCATGTCGTCGTCATCGTCGCCGGCGAGATCTAGAAGGTCGTCGGGGTAGGGGGACTCATCGTCTGCTGCAGCTGATGGTGCCGCTGCTGCTGCTGCTGCTGGTGTGTGGTGCGGTGCAGTCGAGAAAGGGCGCCAGTTCTGTATGAGGGAAGGTGCCCTGACCAAGTAGCGCCGAAAAAGCCGAAAGATCATTCAGCCTCAGTTTACCGATAAGGCAGCAATTAGCCCTTCAGGGTTTTGTTCGTGTGCAGGGTTTTCGTGTAACGCCTCGCCGCCCCGAAGCCTTCCCTTAGCGCCATGGCTGGGGAGCTTGAAACCATCGCAGAATGGGTGAGTGACGCATTGATCTCTCCACAGCACCATCCATCCATCGGTGCCAGGATTCATCACGTCGTGACGATGATCTTGGTGCGATGTGTGTTTCAGCTGCGTGGCTGCACGGTCCTGCCCGACAACATCCGCAGCGTGGTAGAGCTGCCCAGCCTCACATCCACCGCCCTCTTCGTCGCCGTCGTCAAAGCCCTGTAACTGGACGCCACGCCACGCCACGCCAGACACCCAACACACACAACCATGGATGGATCTTTGCCTTCTCCCCGTCCATGCAGTGCTCCCGGGGCGCTGTCGAGCACCATTCATGACTACAGCAGCGCGCGGGAGTGCCTGCTGTCGTTTGTGCAGGGGGAGTTTGGCATACGGCCGCCGCTGCCGACGGTGATGCCCGGCCAGGGCGGCGATGGCCACGGTCATGGTCATGAGTTGGGCGATTTGTGGCGGTGTGTGGTGGTGTACGGTGCGTGTGGTCCGCGGAAGGAGGAGGTGATAGCCGACATGATGCAGCAGCAGGGGGGCGACATGCAGGCCAGACTCGTGGCCATACTCAAACCGGTAAGTGGGGGGGGACGACACACACAAATCATGCACACAAACCGGTTTCTCTGTCTGTTCGTGTGCTATTTGTTTGTGTCAGGCGATAGAGTCCCTCTCGTCTGCCGCTGCGAGCACAGCCACCGCCACCGCCAGTCGCGCACACAGCAGTCGGCGGTCAACCCCCGCCCACTCTGGCCAGGCCGACCGGCACCTCAAGCCGCTCAGACGCCTCTCATCTCCACTTTGGGCGGCCAACCTCAACACGGCCCCATCCACTAAACCCATCACATCCACCAGAAATGACCAGCAGCAAGACGACATGAGCCGTGCGCTGAGCCGACTCCCGCTGGCGACCGTGGGTGGACAGGATCATCCATCCAGCCGCCCCCCGACGTTCGGGCATCGCGGCCCGCCATTCTCTGCCGACAGCACGAAGCGCCACCCCACACCCGAGAAGGACAAGTCGCGGTCGCCCGTGCTGGGCGGCTACCGCCAGACGAGGCGGTCGGACGGCGGGGCGTCCCTGCACACGGGCGAGGGGGATAGCGGCGTGGGAGCCCTCCCACAGGCATCATCGCCAAGACATCGCGAGGTGGCTAGCGACGGCTCGCCAATCCGAACGCCTGTGCCGTCGTCGCGGCTTGGTGCCGGTGGCGGTGCGGGGCCTGCTGGTGTCAGAGAGAGGGATAGGACGGCTAGCGGGATGGCGATGATGCCAGCGGGTGCCACTCCTCACATGAATTGGGGGGCGGCAGAGGGGGCGACGAGGGAGGAACTGAGGAGTCAAATCGTAAGAAGCATAAGAACAAGAAGAATAGTATGCTGGTGTTGTGTTGTATTGTATTGTGTTGTATTGTGTTGTTGATTTGTGTGCAGGATCGTCTGTGCGGTGAGAATGCGGCGTTGCGGGCTGAGGTGCAGGGGTATGAGATACGGCTGCAGGCCAAGGACAGCCACCTGCGCAACCAACAGGTATGTATACGGCACAGTAATACACACACAGACAAACAAAGGGACCACAGAAATGTACCTTGCCTGAATAATGTGTGTCATGCAGGACTCTGAGTGGGATGCCGTCATCACACAGAAGTGAGCAAGGGAAGGGGCGCACAGCACACGGGAGGCGGTCATTCTGTGTGTGACCCTGTTCCATCTTGTCAGTTCTCTGCAGAGTCGCGTCAAAGAGCTGACCAAACAGACTCAGCAACTCACGCAGGACGTAAGTATATCTAGCGCATCTATTCATTAGCACACACACATCCATTGTCCTTGATTTGATGCTGCTCAATCTCTCCCTCCCCACCTGCAGAATGCCAAGCTCAAGCAGCGGCTGCACGACAAGGTATTATGCCTGCGGCAAAGCCAAGCCACACTTGTGAGTGACCGCTGGCTGCATATGGCGCCCCTCTGTCTGTCTGTCTGTCTGTTTGTCTGTCTGTCTGTTCATCCATGAGTGAGTGCATCAGGAGTACGAGGGCACGGCCGAGCATCAGCAGGAGCACGAGGAGCAGATACACAGACTCACTTCAAGACTCGCTGAGTGAGCGAATGACCACACCCATTATATAGGAGCAGGGAGGCAGGGAGAGGGAGACACGCTGTGGCTGGCTGTCAGGGCTGAGGATGCCCGTGAGCGTCTGGTCTCTGTCGAGCGTCAGCTCCGCGGCATGTCCGACGCACTCAAAGTCAAACAAATAGAACTCGGTCAGTTGAAGACACCGGCCGTCCCGCACACGCACACACACATTACTTTGCCGTGTGGCGTGTTGTGTGCGTGTGTGTTGGTCATCCATCAAGCAGATACGGCCGAGAGGAACAAGGAAGCACTCGAGGCTGAGCTCAGCCAGCTACGCTCGAAGGTCGGTGGGCGGGCCACAATTGTGACAAGCAGGTCGCGGGCGACCTGTCTCTGTCTCTCTCTTGGTGTGTGACTCTGTGTGTTTGTGCGTATCTGTCAGGCGTCCTTCTCGGATGAGCGTTTGCGTGATTGCGAGAGCGAGCTCAAGGTGCTGCGGGAGCGCAACAAGCGAAACGAACGATTCCACGAGGCACTCCAACACGACAAAGCGTCAGTGTGTTCCCTCGCCCTCACGAGCCAAGCAGCTAATCAAGTGTGTGTGTGTCAGTGAGCTGGAGCGCATTCTGGATGAGTATCGCAAGATGTCATCGTCTGCCAAGACGGCCACCCATGGCGGCATCGGTAGCCTCTTCGCTCCGTTCAGTCGGCTGCAGGGGCCGCAGGAGGGTCACCCAGATCTGCAGGCCGCACCCAACGACTCCCACACACTTTTCTATGACATGTACGTACGGATGACTGTCTGTGCGCGAGAAAGGAAGATTTACGTCTCACTCTCTCTCTCTCTGTCTCTGTGTGTGTGTGTTGATGTGTTGTGGTGGTTGGATGGCAGCCAGGTGCGTCTAGAGGAGGTCGAGCGCGAGAATGAGCGCTTGAAACGACAGCTGGCCAAGATGGAGCGAAACACGTAAGGGAAGTCAGTTGCCCGCTGCGTCGGGGCGTCGATGGCATGACCTGCGCCCATTACACAGGCAACAGGAGGTTGAGGCTCATGTGCAGGAGCTGAAACGGGCCCTGCACACAAAGGAACAGGTGCACCAATCATTCACCCGTCGCCACGACTCCCTCACTGTGCACCTGTGTGTGTGTGGGCTGTCGGACAGGACATCAACTGGTTGACGGCGCAGAGGGCGCGCACAGAGGAAGTAGCCGCACGACAGCAGGAGGAAAAGGGCAGATTAGTCAGGTACATACCGCACCTGACCTTTTTCCACGTGCCTAGCTGATTGCATTGATACCCTGATACAGGCGTTTGAATGAGGTAGAGCGTGAGTTTCATCAGCTGCAGCAGCAGCACCGTGAGGCCCGGGCCTCTCTGGACGGCCTGTCCCAGCAGCAGGGGGAGCTGACCCTCAAGTACAACAACGGCTGCAGGGAGTACCACAGACTCCAACACCAATACGACCAGCTGCAGGTACTGCACGGCACTGCACTGCACGGCACGGCAGAGGAGCGGGGATGGGTGCGCGTGTGTGTCTCTCTGTCTCTGTGTGTGTGTCTGTGTGTGACTCTGCCTGCAGGATGCCTACACGTCTGTGCAGGATGTGTCAGCTGGCCAGGGCGACCGGATCGCCCAGCTAGAGTCGCAGGCTGAGGGATGGAAAACACGGGTGGGCGAGAAAACACATGGGTGGAACGAGCCACACACGTACAGTGCACACGTCTCCTCTCTTTCCTCCGCTCCTCCCCCTCCCCCCGCGCAGATAGAGGAGTTGACCGACAGCCTGGCCGCCAGCCGCAAACGATTCGAACAAATGGACCAAGAATTCACCGTAACCCCACCCTCACCCACTTTCAAAGACGTGGATGTGTGTCTGTGTCTGCCCGATCAGTCCGAGCGTGACATGTGGGTAGAGGAGAAGGACCGCCTCAACCGCACCATCGCCTCACTGCAGGCCCAGAAGGACCAGACGGAGGCCGACCTGGCCGCACGGGTGAGTGCGCTGGCGGCCAAGGAGGAGGAGTGCCGGGCGGCAAAGGAGCGGCTCGAGGTGCTCGAGTCGGACATCAACTATGCCGACCCCACGGTCGGTGAGGGAGCCAGCTGCGCATGCAGGGTTGCCATCTGTCTGTATGGGTATCTGTCGGGGCATGTCAGCATCGTAAGGATCAAGAGGCCGTGTGGTCGACCAAACAGGCGCTGCAGCGGGAGAAGTGCGAAAAAGGGACATACACACACAACACAACACAGGAGGCGCATACATGGATGGCATGCCATGTGTGTGTGCGTCCTTGATTGCTGCAGATCTCTTGTGGGCGAGCTGGAGGTCCAACTCAAGGCCGCCAAAGACGAAATAGACAAGGTCCC